CAGGGAGTTCCCCAGAGGATACCGAGCCCTCCCGCTCCTCGCGGGACGGTCGGGCCCTGAGGATGCCCGGTGTCCCTGCTGGCACCTCCATCACCTCCAGTTTCCGTGCCAGCTCCTCACCTCGGGGAGTTGCGGTGCTGTGCTTGGGCACCGTCCTGCCGCCTGGATGCTGTCTCCAGGCCGTGCTCCGGATCACCGGCATGGCCCGCAGGCCGCGGGCAGACAGAATCCACAACTCCCCGTCCTTTCAGGCTCTGCTTCACTTTTTCTCACCTGTGCAAGGAACATGACTTTTCTGTTTTCTTTATATCCAGCCGTTGGGCATTCCTGCATACATTAGGTCTCTGTTCTTTAAATAGGAAGTGTATAAATAAAAAAACATGCAGAACTTAAACACCAGTTTCTACAGATGTTTCCTTCATAATTGCTGTTATTACCTTCTCAGAGAGGAAAGCCTGGCAGATCATTTTCACGCTCCTTTTTTATTGCAGATCCTTAACTGCCCCCGAAGTTCTTCATAGTAATCTTCACTCTTATGCAAAATTTTTTAGTTATGAACACCCCATGAATCTTGATACACATGCCATGTTTGTCATTTCGGTTCTTCTAATCCTAGATTAAGCCAATGAATTGCAGCAGACTCTGCTTGCCTGTTTATTCGTTTTATCATTATAACTTCATAGCTTCTGGCGGCTTCTCCACTCGTGTAGAGATTTCCCAGGCAATGCTGTTGACGCTGCTGTTTGGGTGTAAATAATGCAAATACAAACATCCAGTTGACTTCACTTCCAAGGAGGCAAGATTTGATTGTGAAGTCTTTGATCAAGCAGTTGAGAATTTTCTCCTGCTGCTTCCCTAACGTTTCCATGAGGAGACTCTGGTGCTGGAGGGCATAGGCACAGTTTAATCATTCGTGTATTGATATTACTGCCTGTTTCTGAACTTCTTAACTGGTGCTTGGGGCATCTCATAGTTGACAGTGTGAATCACATCTTTCTATAAAGAAGATAGGTAATTAGCCATAATTTCTTTTTTTCTTCTGTTTTCTTTTTTTGTCTGTAATTTTTTGTTTTGTTTCACTGGATTTTTTTTTTTTTTTTTGGTGTTTTTTTTTTTTTTTTTTTTTTTTTTTTTTGGTTTTTGTTTTTTTTTTGTTTTTTTTATGGTTCTTCCAGTTCCTTAGCCAGTTTCTGTTTATGGCAAAATACTACCTTTGTTCCCTGGGTTACAGTTTTGGTATTCTTCATGCTTCCACTGGGCAGTGATTTTTATTCTCTAGTCTGTATAACTACTGTTTTTTTCCTGAGTTTTCTAATGAAGAATGGCATTCAGTCATTAGCATTTGGAAGAAGGTGGTGGTACGTGTTTGTCCACTCACTAGGAGCAGCTTACAACAAATGGCATGTTCAGCTGACTTGTACACATACTTTTACAAAGATGTGTTAAATTGCATGTCTTAATAGGAGCACAGCAATTGATAAGTGACAAAAAAAATCTTTGTTAAATAAGAAAAAGGATTCTTTGATGTGGATAACGTGAACATCTGGGCGGCTGATGGGGTATAATAAAACGAGATAAAAAGGAGGGCATGAAGGAGACCAGAAACAAGGTTCTTGGCAGGGTAAATGGAAGAATTACTTCATTAAGGAAAAACAAGTACTGTGTAAAAGCTAGCATATGAGTATCTAAAATATTTGTCATCAAGTGATAAAGTATAGGCAGAAAAAATATATGGCTGAATGTACTGGAGACAAAGAACACTCCACCATTGCAGGGGAAAGATTTCATATGGGGTGTGTGGAGGGGCTCATCCCTGGTTTGATTCCAGTCCAATTCTGCTGGAGTTGGAAAGGTTGAGCTCTTCTAGTTGCAGAAAACGGTGATTTGTTTTTCAAAGGGTGGTGAATGCACATCCTCAAAGTGATGTGCAGGTGGTTGTACTTGGCTGCATAGTGAAACATGCTAAAAGAAAACAAATGATGCTGCTAATGTGCTGCTAATGTGCTAATGTTCTGCCTTTTTAGGACACCAAGACTGGACATCACAGACAGCAGAAGCTCAAGAAGTCCTTAGGAAATAAAAAGTATGTGAATGGTTTTTGTCTAGTTTGATTGAAGGCTAGAAAAAAGCTGAGAATATTCTGAGTCTTAGCTGACTTCACTTCCTGGTTTGTAGGAAAAGTGCTTTTCTGGCACTTCAGTATGTATTAGCTTTCATTTATTTTTTTTAAGGATTTTAGCATTGTGAAGATAAATATTTTTAGTCCAAAACCAAATGGTGCTCCGAAATGTATGCATTTTGGGTGTGATTGCAACTTAAAGACTTTATTTTGAGCAAGCCCCTCCCCATGCTTCTGCAGTACCTCCTGAAACATAGTGTGTAATGACCTGACCTTGTGCCCTCAGCATCCCCCCTTATCAATTCCTGGACTTATTGTTAAAGGTGAGCTCCACAGCTCAGAGTATGGACAGAATGGCCATCAGAGTTATCACTCACTCATCTCCCCTTATCAGTTCCTGGACTTATTGTTAAAGGTGAGCTCCACAGCTCAGAGTATGGACAGAATGGCCATCAGAGTTATCACTCACTCATCTCCCCTTATCAGTTCCTGGACTTATTGTTAAAGGTGAGCTCCACAGCTCAGAGTATGGACAGAATGGCCATCAGAGTTATCACTCACTCATCTCCCCTTATCAGTTCCTGGACTTATTGTTAAAGGTGAGCTCCACAGCTCAGAGTATGGACAGAATGGCCATCAGAGTTATCACTCACTCATCTCCCCTTATCAGTTCCTGGACTTATTGTTAAAGGTGAGCTCCACAGCTCAGAGTATGGACAGAATGGCCATCAGAGTTATCACTCACTCATCTCCCCTTATCAGTTCCTGGATTTATTGTTAAAGGTGAGCTCCACAGCTCAGAGTATGGGCACAATGGCCATCACAGTCATCACTCATTCGAGTGATCACTTACTTCAGTTGGGAATTGCAGTTGCAATGGGATGCATTGCAAACTGTTTGTGTTCCCTTTGTTTCTCCTTCATGTAAGTGGTATTTGCCCAGAGAATAGATACTCTGTGTTTCTTGGACACCTCATTCAGTTTCCTGTCCTGTACAGGAATGTTGATGTTTAGGCATTTCAAGGCCTGAGAGAAATGCTTTGGAACAGTGAAGCAATGTTCCCTCTGATCTCTAGGAAAAAATTTCAGTGCTGCTGATTAGTCTAAAGTGTCTTAATGTAGTGTGATTTGTAGGTTGGAAGTTGTCTTCACTGCTGAAAGCCTCACTAGTTAAAATTCTTACTGACACGAAATCTTTTATTGAGTAGTGCCAGCCCTGATTCTGGGAGTAGAGGCTGAAGGAGATCTTGCCCTTTGTGGGATGGAAAATGTCTCTTTTGTAATGACGGGCTACAGAAATATTCTTATATTCCAGGGAAAAATGCATATTTTAAAATTAAGATTCACTTACTCCTGCTTCTAAAGTTTAAAGTTTGAAGTAGGAGGAATATTTTTTTCTGTTCCTCTTGAGATCTCACTAATGTCATTATCAGAAAGATGTACTGAAAACCAGCACTGAGGACTGTTTTATCTTGCTAGCACTTTACAGATCCAAAAACTCAGGAGATTCAGTGAGTTGTGATATTCATTTTCAGAATACTTGGGAAGATGAGAAGGATGTTGTCTGTCAGGTTTATTGTGATTGTGCACTAGTATGCATCCATACGCACAGGAATTTGACTGGATGTTTTCCAGGCCTAAGCCAGCTGAGGAGGTGGAAGCTGCTGTGGTGGGAGTGAACAGTGACTCTGAGGACACAGTCACCACCATCTCCCCGGCCTCCCCAGTGAACGGGAGCGCCGAGCCCCGGAGCAAGCGCACCATTCGCAGGCCTGCTTACTGGCTGGAAATGAGAGGGATGAAAAACAGCGTGAGCAAATCCTCAGAAAAAAAAGGTAATTATCACTGGTGGTCCAAGGCAAAACTGGTTTTCCCTCTGGTTCTTCAGTGAGAAATTAGTTTGCTCATGAAAGGCATGCTGCAATTCAGCCAAAAATTACAAGTTTGCTGGTGCTGCTCGTGTATTAGAAGAAATGAACTTTTGCCACTGCACAAATACAGGTACAGTTCTCTGATATTATACAGTTCCTTTTGAGTCCCTTGTCTATTAAAGTAATTATTCTGTGCCTGAACTCAGTTCTATCTGTAGAAGAGGTAAGAGTTACACCAATCATATCAGAAATAAGCTTGAAGAGCTTTAAAAATAGGACTGTCAACACTGAAGATGTGGCAAAGGGGATCATTCAGTAGTATTTGGGATTAGATACAGCGTTTGTGGTTGGTAGATTATTGTTTTTTAAGGATGTCTTCATTTTCTCACATTTGTCAGTTACAATTTTCTGATTTGAAATGGGTCTGGTTTGGGTTGTTGCAGGAACATTCAGATTTCCTGGCCTAGGAGCTGTTTCCCAAACTTCTTACGTGGCAGAGAGTCAAAACTTCAATCTTCTTTAATGCACTTCCTTCTTACCTCTAAGTAAGGATTCGTATTTTATTCTGTTGTGGGGAGAGGCAAATTTGGTAGCTTGATAGAAGTGAGATTGCTGTAGCTGCACAGCCCAGGTGCAGTCACTAGCCAGACTGAGTATTCCTGTGGGAACAGCACAGACCTACAGCAGACATGAGCAGGAGCCACGCAGACCAGCATGCACACTGTGCACTCCATCTGCTCAGTGCCTGACCTCTGGATCCCAGGCTCCTCAGCTGCTGGGCCAGGGATGCACTAGCCCCTGTAGAGCCATGCCAGGGGCAGGTGAAGACCTCCTTACAGACAGGCTCGTACTCAGAGACCCTGCTTGCTGTCAGACATGACAAGGTTTGTATACTGACCAGTCACCTATTTACAAGCAGGTGTTCTTTGCTATCCTCTTACACCTCTATTTTCCCACACTTGATCAAGTCTAAACTGGGTAATTCTGTCCCTTTCCCTCCCTTTGATACCACTCCTGATCATCCTAGTCCTGTGTAATCCTGAATTGTTCTCCACTCAGATCCCAGGTGCTGCATAACCCCAGGCAGTAACACCACGCTCTCTCTTCTCACTGTCCCCCTCCCAAAGGGGGCTGCAGAGAGGGGTTCCCACTGACCTATCCTTGTGGGTCTCCTGGGACAGGCTCAGGAGGAAGCTGTCTGTTTCTTTAAGTCCCTAATTGGTGTTCCCTGCCTACCATTGTGCTTCTGTGCTCATCTGTATTCATGGAGACAAGATTTTGATAGACTTGGAAAGGGCAGGCACGATTTGAGTTTCTGTATGCTCCTTTTTGTGTGAGTGCAGGTGAGGTTTCCGTCACATAACCTAGTGCTTTCTGCCTCTTTTCCTGAGGATTATTTTCCAGGCCCTGCTGTGGCACTGTTTCTTCCATACCTGCTATATCACAGTACTGTGTGCCACAGGCTGCGTCAGTGTTGCTGAGTGAGAAGGTGGTGTCTAGTTCACTAGTGTCCAGGTGCCTCATAAGAACTACTTGTTTTGTTTTGTTTTGTTTTTTAATAAGTATTGAATACAAGGACCAGATGAGGCAGCAGTACTCAAGGCTGTTATCCAGACTGAATACTGAGACTGAAGCATATCTGTTCTTACTTATCAGGAGAAGTACTGTTGAAAGGCAAGAGGAAATCTGAGCAAAGGGAAGGCAAAGATGTTAAAGACTCTCCCAAGAAGAAGCAGAAGATTTCGGGTAATACAAATAACTTGTAATTCCTAATTAGGTGCTTTGACTTGCCTGCCCAAATGACATCTTCTGGAGTCTTCAAACTCTGATTCTGAACGTTTTGTTCTAGGAAGCCATTGACTAGTGTCTGCTTCATCAGTGGGAGGTGGTCTAATTTCAATCTGTTTTAGAAGTCCAACAAAGGGAGGGAGGAAGGAAGTGATGGGAAGTATAGGCCAGTCTGCACATTTCAGTTTCTCAAAGGATTATAGATTAAATAATCTGACACATTGCTTGTAAACATCTGGAGATTGGGTAGCTGATAACAGCAGTATGGGTTTGTTAAGACGAAGTCAAACCCGAACACTTTTTTATTGCCACAAAGACCAAGGGGAGAAATGTGTGACGCCAGAGGCCTTTCAATCCTTCAGAAGGTTTGTCAGTCAGTGGTTAGGTGCAAAGAAAGGTGTGCAAGTGGTGAAAGCAGGAGCAGGTGACACAGAAGTGTACATGTGCTGTCCAGTCTTGCACGGATGAGGTTAGGAAAGCCAAAGCCAGCCTGGAGTTGAATCTGGCGAGGGATGTGAACAGCAATAAGAAAGGATTCTACAAGTACATGAATAGCAAAGGGAAGACCAGGGAAGCTGTGGGTGCACTGCTCCTCAGAGCAGGGGAGCTTAAACTGGATTTACCCAATCATTTTTTCTGTAGTCTTGGTTAGGTGGAAAGGTCAGAGAAGACTGGAGGTTAGCCTGGGTTACACCCATCTGCAGGAGGGCTCAGAAGGAGGATCCGGGAAACCACAGACACATTTGTGGCTCTGGCCTTGGTGCCATGGAAGGTCATGGGGCACATTATCTGGGGTGCTGTCATGGGGCATCTGCAGGACAGCGTGGTGATCAGGCCCAGCAGAATGGCAGGTACTGCCTGACTCACCTGATGTTCTTGGATGACAAGGTGATGGATGAGAGAAGGGCTGTGGGGATGTTATTTACCTGGACTTTAGTGGAGCCTTTTGACACCATTTCCCACATCATTCTTCTGGAGAAACTGGATGCTCATGGCTTGGACAGAGGCTCTCTTGGCTGAGTGGAAAATTGGCTGGATGGCTGGGCCCAGAGAGCCATGGGGCAAGGGGTGACATCCATCTGGGGCCAGTCACCAGTTGTCTTCCCCTGGGCCCAGTACTTGGCCAATCCAGTTTAATATCTTTATTGATGGTCTAGATGAGGGGACTAAGTGCACCTTCAGTAAGTTTGAGGATGACACCAAGTGGATTAGGATGTGGATCTGCTGGAGAGCAGGAAGGCTCTGCAGAGGAAACAGGACAGGCTGGAATGATAGGCCAAGGCCAACAGTGTGAGAGCCAGCAAGGCCAAGTGCCGGGCCCTGCCCTGGGGTCACTGTACCCCATGAAGCACTCCAGGCTGGGGCAGAGGGGCTGAGAAAAGCCCTGTAAGTGTTGGTCAAGTGTGGCTCAACACAAGCCCAGGTGGGCAAGAGGCAGCCAGTGGCTGCTGGGCTGTGCCAGCTCTGGGGTGGCAGCAGGCCCAGGGCAGTGCCCGTCCCCTGTGCTGGCACTGCTGGGGCACCTCCAGTGCTGGGGGCAGCTCTGGGCCCTCCTGACAGGAGAGACCTGGAGGGGCTGGAGCGTGTCCAGGGAAGGGAACGGAGCTGGGAAGGGAATGGAGCCCCAGGAGGGGCTGAGGGAGCTGGGAAGGGGCTCAGCCTGGAGAAAAGGAGGCTCAGGGGGGACCTTGTGGCTCTGCAGAAGTCCCTGACAGGAGGGGACAGCCAGGGAACAGGGACAGGACAAGGGGAAATGGCCTCAAATTGCACCAGGCTTAGATGTGATACTGGGAGCAATGTTTTGCCCCAGAAGGACTGTCCAGCCTTGGCACAGCTGCCCAGAGCAGTGGTGCAGTGCCCATCCCTGGAGGGGTTTGAAAGGCGTGTGGATGTGGCACTTGGGGACATGGGTTAGCAGTGGCCTTGGCAGCACTGGGGGAGCTATTGGACTTGATGATCTTGGAGGGCTTTTCCAACCTAAACAATTTAAGATTCTAAGTCCTGGAGGGCCTGACGGGGTGCACTGAGTGCTGAGAGCTGGCTGATGTCATTGTGAGGCCACTCTTGATTATCTTTGAAAGGTGATGGCAACTGGCAGAGGTTCCTGGAGGCTGGAAGAGACAAAGTACCAATTGTATCTTCAAGAACAGAAAGAAGGAAGATCTGGGGAACTACTGGCCAGTCTACCTCACCTCAGTCCTTGGGAAGCTGATGGAGAGAATCATCCTGGAAAGCATTTCCAAACACATGAAGGACAAGATGGGGATTTGGAGTTATCAGCATGGATTCATGCAGGGCCAGTCACGCTTAAATCAGCCTGACAGCCTTCTACAATGAGGTCACTAGCCCGGTGAAATAGGAGTGTAGAAAGATGGTTCATGGAGTGTCCCTGTATTCAACTCTGGCTGTTGTTTCTGTCAGCAAGGATGGAAGTATGCAGACAGCACACAGCTGAAAGTGACAGCAAGTGTACTGGAGAAAAGGCTAAAAGTGAAAGTGGTGTCAACAACAGAGAAACAATTTAAAAATAGAACAGAGAACAGTGTAAAATTAAAGATGATATTGTTTGGGAGGAAACACTGTCACAGCTGAAAAACAACGAGCAGCCTCCCAGGAGCCAGTGCTGCAGAAGAGGATTCAAGATCCATAGCAGATCAAAAGCTGACTGGGGACTAGCAGTGTCAGAGTGGTTTTTTGAGAAGGCAGATGTTAGACTGAGAGCTTTGAGGAGGAATGTAGACTCTGTGAAGTAGTTAAACGTGTGAAGTAATTCTTTTGCTCTAATCCAGGGCCACCATGGAATGCTGTTTCCAGAAACAGGCACTGAGGTTCAGGAAATGTGTGTGACAGCTGAAGAGGACAGGAAGATGAGAGCAAGCAGCATAACCCATGCTGAAACAATAAGAGTGTTTTAGTCTAAAGAGGACTGGAATGAGTAGAGCAATGAGACTCCCCATGGTTATCATCAGATGGACTCAGCCAGACTGCACAGAGGATGTGTCAGTGTGGAGAGTTCACATCCCTTGAGCTTGGAGTGGGAACAACCATAGAACTCACAAGTGTTTGAGTGGGACTAATGCCTGCCACTAGAAATAGATCTTGAAAGGGAGTAGGAAACATAACCTTGACATTGCTTTTAAAAAAAAAGCATTGAACATTTCTGAATAACTTTGAGACAGCAGACTTAAATAGCAGCCTTCTAGCAAAAAAATTCTGGTTTTTATTGTAAGAAAGCTTGCAGAACTGACTATTTTGGCTTGTCTTGTTTGTGTTGTAACAGGGAAAAACCAACAAACTGGAACAAAACAAAACTCCAGAACGAAACACCACAGTGTTCGGAAAGAGCCAGAAACCTATGACCCAGGTAAGAAGAGGCAGTAGCTAGGAGTTGCTCATGAAGCAGATAAAAGATAAATGTGATTCTAGGATTTGAATCTGAGCAGAGCTGTGCTTCTGGTGTTTCCATTCAGCAGTTCCCTGTGCTGTTGGCAGGGAGGAGCTGGCTGCTGGCCTGGCACTGTGTCAGTACTGCACACTGCCTGAGTGTAGCTCCACTGCTTTGGCTATTGCAGAGTGTAACTGAAAGAGGAATCCCTTTTAGAACTGAACAAAAGCCTGTTAAGATAGTTGCATTATTAAACGCATTAAAACATTTATCGTTTTTACTCAGCAGAATATGTTTGCAGGAAAAACTCCATAGCTGTTGCTGCCAGATCACCTATCCTGGGAGCCAGAGACCCAAGCAATCTGTCCTAGAAAAATAAAATTAGCCTTGATTCAGTGAGTGGAATAACTTGGTGTTTGTAAATTACAGCACTCATTAAACACCCCAGTTTTCTACCAAGTGCTGTTTGATTCACAAACTTTTCCCCAGGAGAGGGACAGCCTGGGCCTGTTATTATTGGGAAAAGAGGAGAGGATGTGGATCTTGTTACGGTAAGAATTCAGGCAGATGGCTGCTAAACCACTTTCTTCCCAGAACCCATTTCAGTGATTTATAATTCTTGTGGATTATGCCAGACTTCTGCTTGGGATTTCATAGAGAGGCCAGAAACTGAAAACCATGCCACGCAGGGTGCTTTTCCCTGGCTGCTGAGTAACTTGTCCTGGTGGTCTGTGGCTGCTTTTACTGTGAAAACACTTTGGCCAAAAGAAAAGTTTGCTAAACTTTTGCTAACTCAGCATGCTAAACTAATTATGTGACAGAAATTAACAGAGGGAAATGTTCTGGCCCTCAGGATAAGGTGTTCTACCACTGGTCAGGTAGAAGAGCACACCTTACAAGGGAATGGTAGATCCAAGGGTGTTGGTAAAATGCTCCTTGGCAGTGAGTGCTGTGTGCCTTGTGACAGCCCATACCTGGAGCTGTAAAGGAGCTGCACGTGTTGAGTGCAGCTGGACACAGGTTTGGGAGTGTGTGACCTGTTTCTTTTTAGGGTTCACTGCGCACATCGAAGGAGGAAAAAGGAAAAATGTTGTGTTAGCACTTTTGTTCTAAACGTTGTGTTTTGACAGGTAGTATGGAAGAGCAGTGGTCTCTAGAGATTCAGGACAAAGGCCGAGTTACCTGTCCCACGTGCCGGGCTGTGGTGAGGAAGACTGTAGAAGGGCTGAAGAAACATATGCTGAATTGCAGGAAGGTAAGAACACAAGAGATGAGCAATGGTCTCTTTACTTCTCTTCAGCTTACTGATAGAAATACCTGCCTGTTTTGTGTTGCATTTAAAACCAGTTTCATCTCGTCTCTGTGTCCCTTAGCAAGACTCCTTTATATATCTGTAAGAACAGTGATTGGTGCTTCTTGCCCAGCCTTTTGCAGGAGGTTTGGGTAGTGAACAAAAGTGTAGTTATTTCATTGTTCCACTAGATTTTAGACTCTGTAAAATCAGTTCTTTGAAGAGAGTTACCAGGCCCAAATAAATTATTCTGCTCTCCTGTTCCTTTCCCCCAAAGAGGTATCCACTGCTTTGGTTAATTTACGGTTAAATGTATCACATCCTTGTTTATTTCTAGGAAATGTTCACATGTCAGCACTGCGGGAAGCAGCTGAAGTCTTTAGCAGGGATGAAATACCACGTCATGGCAGACCATAACAATCAGGTAACACAGCTGCTGTGCATGTGAAACTGCTGCAGGCAGAGCAGGCTTTGGTCCTTTTCTCCTACACACAGACACAGGCAGACCAGGCTTTGGTCCTTCCTGCTGCACACAGACACAGAGCAGGCTTTGGTCCTTCCTGCTGCACACAGACACAGAGCAGGCTTTGGTCCTTCCTGCTACACACAGACACAGAACATGGAGTGCTTTTTTTCAGTGTTCGAGCTGCTCAAATCTAATTGAACTGTTATTTTTCCAGTGAGACTTGACATGTGAAAAACAGTGGAATGTCACCAGAGATGCTAGGCATGAAACATCATAGAATGAGGGATCAATTTCTGTTTAGGAAATAAGTCACACATAAAAGGCATTCCCAATCAGAAGGAAAAATACTAGGCTGCAATTTTCAGTCCTTTGCTAGAAAGGTGGAAGTTTTTCTTCATCCAGAGCAGACTAGATTTGAGGTAAAATAGCAGAAGCAGCAATTAGTTCTCATCTCTGTTTACTTTAAAAATACTAATCTATCACTAGATTAGTACTAATAGTACAATCTGCTTTTCCTCTTTGCTCTTACTTTGAAGAAGGCAATGTCTCCTTTTGTAGCTGTGAAGAATTAGAACTTTTGAAAAGGTCATTTAGAAGTTTGTGTAAAGTTCAGATAATTCACTCTGAATTTTTTGCATGATTCCCAGTACTGCAGTTTCTGAACCTACAGCTGTATTAGTAAATGATGCGGGCCAGGGATCATGTTCTGGCCCTGAGGGTTAGGTCTGTCACTGAATTCTATCTTTTTACTCAATCAAGGTGTAATATTAGGTAAAGTAGGAAATAATATACAGTAACCATCAGAGAGAGAATAAGGGACTTGAGCTGTAGTTCTGCACAGATGAGTGATTGTTACAAGCAGTCTGCTTCACCTTAGTCAACCTGAGTGGAAACAGTAGGACTATTAAATGTTTAAGATGCATAATTTTCTGTCAGTTTACTCCTTTTAAAGATAATTCCTCTTTGGTTTAACCTCAGTCAGCAGCCAAGCCCCCTGCTGCCCTTCACCCTCTATCTCACCTACAGGATGGGGGAGAGAATCAAAGTGGGAAAACTCATGTGCTGGGATAAAGACAGTTCAATAGATAAAGCACACAGGCAAAGCAAAACAAGGAACTCATTCACCACTTTGGTAGGAGGGTCCAGGCATCTCCAGGACCACAGGGCTTCATCACACATAGTGGTAGCTTGGTAGAGCAAATGCCATCATTTTGAATGTCTGCCCCTTCCTCCTCCTTCCCTCAGCTTTACATGCTGAGCATGGTGGTGCAATATCCTTGTGGTCAGTTGGGGTTGGCAGTGTGCTCTGCGATACCCTCGTGGTCAGTTGGGGTTGGCGGTGTGCTCTGCAGTGTCCTTGTGGTCGGGTGGTCAGTTGGGGTTGGCGGTGTGCTCTGCAGTGTCCTTGTGGTCAGTTGGGGTTGGCAGTGTGCTCTGCAGTATCCTTGTGGTCAGGTGGTCAGTTGGGGTTGGCGGTGTGCTCTGCAGTATCCTTGTGGTCAGGTGGTCAGTTGGGGTTGGCAGTGTGCTCTGCAGTATCCTTGTGGTCAGGTGGTCAGTTGGGGTTGGCGGTGTGCACTGCAGCCCTCAGGGGCTGCTCAGCAACAGCAAAACCATCTCTGAGCTCTCAGCAGTTCTCAGCACAGATCCAAAACGCAGCCCCACACCAGCTGCCACCCCAGCAAAACCAGCCCAGATACAGAAAGTCCACATTATAGTAAATACATGTCTGTAAAATCATTAAGTTGCAGAGATTTAATTATTTTAGAAGCTTTCCTGCCCCAGTGTGAGTAGTGAATTCCCTGTGAGGAGAATTGTGAATGCTGAGCATCCTGTGTTTTTCATTCATCTTTCTGCTGTGCTTTAGCCAATTATGAAGGAGGGAGAAGAAGTGGATGAGCAGCTTGAGCGAGAGCGCCTTCGGAAGGTTCTGAAGCGAATGGGAAAACTGAAGTGTGCAAGGGAGGTAAGCTGCATTGTGCAAAGTGTCAATTAATCAGCGGTGTCAATTAATCAGCAGTGTCGATTAATCAGCAGTGTTGTATGCATAGACATGAAATGTGAGAGTGCTGTTGAGTGTGCTCTGGTGCTGCCAGAGCAAGATTTGCTTCAAGACCCCAGCTTTGCTTTTAAGGCAGAGTAGCATAGAGTCATAGAATGGTTTGGGTTAAAAGAGACCTTTAATGGTCATTTCAATGCCAATTCTTTGTTGCAGATGTTGTCTGTCCGAATAGACAAACAGAAGGCTGCTTCTGAGCAGCCTTAAAGTTTTCTACCTGCCTGTTTCTGCTCTGTCAGAATGAGTGCCAGTACTTTGGTCGGCAAACTGTGGATCCTGTTCACACTGGGGATGGAATCCCTTGAAGAACAGTTTTCTTCCATGTATTTTCCTTTTGTGTTGACAGGGCTGCACAGGCAGCTTCACCAGCATAATGGGATACCTATATCATATTAAAAAATGTGGGAAGGCTGCTTCTGAGCTGGAGAAAATGGCTATGAAGTGCCATCACTGTGGGAAAGCCTACAGATCAAAGGCAGGACTTGTCTACCACCTGCGATCGAAGCACGGGCCAGTGAGTGCACCCTGCAGGGGTATCGGGGACTGGGGTGGGACTTCAGCCTCTCAGGCTTGAGGCACGTGTAGGCTTTTGTCTGCTCCTTTGTTGGGTAATTACTGACCACAAATGTTTGCATTTTTCCTGCCCCTGGATTATTTTGTCCTTGATAGTTTCCTTCTAGCAGCAGCTGTTGCTTCTCTATGACTAGGATGAAGTTTCTAACAGTAAATCAGCACGGCAGCAGAAAATGACCTGACTTTGGCTCCATGAAAGAGTGATGCTAACATAACTTGTGAGATGCTTTCCTTTGCTCTTAAAGGACTCACCATTGGAGCAGAACAGGCAGTCTGGTTGTCCATGAGGGTTTTACAGCGAATGATGGAATACCTTTCAAGACTAGCAACTGCTTGAAGCTCTCTGCTTGAGCCTCACTGCTGTGATCCCTGTGAGCAGTTCTCGGGGTCGGTGTGACCAATGGGATGCACTTCTGTCCCATGTCTGTGACAGTAAACCATAGCTGATGTAGCCTGTTTATGAGGAGTTTGGCAAAACATTTATTCCCTGTATTTAGTGTAACTGAAATAGGAAGCAGTGAAAGAGACTCACCTTTTTGGGCCTTCATTGCAGGTCACCTTCCTCCATGAGGAGAGAACAGAGAACCTGAAAGAAATGAAACGGGAGCAAAACAGCGCAGGCAGAGTGCAGAGGAGATCTGCAAAGGTGGCAATCTACTATCTCCATGAGCTGGCAGGAGAGGAGCTGGCCAAAGAGTGGCCCAAAAGAAAAGTTCTGCAGGACTTGATTCCTGATGACCGGAAGGTACAAGGCCTTAAAAATGCTACATAGGGTTCAAGTTTATACCTCCACATCTAATGCGTGTTGTACTGGCTCCTGCACCGTGTTTGTGGCACATGGAGAGCAGTGTGTTGTGTGGGGCCTGGGTTCTGCTCTCTCTCTCTCTCTCTCCCCCAGTATTTCTGCAGCAGCAGTTGTGTGGGGCAGTGTTTGTTCAGGCAGGCTGTGATCACTGTAGAGTCCTGTTGCTGGAATTCCCAGGGACACAAGGAACAGGGGCTGTCATGGATCACTCCTGCCGTGCTGTAAGGCCCCAGCAATCCTTCCAGTCTCTGATACATGCTGTGCTGTTTCACAGTGCTTTAGACTTCAGAGTTTCCAGTAGTGTCCTCTAGGCTGTCAGTGAAAGCCAGAGGAAAACGATGGATCTCAGCAGGGTAAGGACATTTAGAGCAATTGTTGTAGTCAAGGCAATGAGAGGTTTCAGATTCTGATATTGTGGGGTTTTCCAGATTCACTTATGTTTCTAGAGGGTTGGTGAGACAAGAGAACATTGATTATTGGGAGTTTGCCCGTTAGAGTAGGAGAAGAGATAGCACTTCTGTCTCGGCCTAGAGGAGGAAATTCTGCACAGGCAGCATTACTTCCAGCTCTCGATTCCATCTTTGTCTCAGCTGAAATACACTCGTCCTGGACTGCCCACGTTTAGTCAAGATGTACTGTGCAAATGGAAAACGGAGATAAAGATGTACCGAAGAGTCCACTGCCCAAATCAGGTAATCTTTAACTGTTTCTGAAGCCCCAGAGGGGATAGATTTCAATTCTGTATGAGCCAGCAGCTTCCCACAATCCTGGAACTGCAGTTGGTCTCTCTGTGGGAGACAAATCCTGCTCCATCTCAGCATGGTTGTTTAGTGTAATCAAGGCCCTGTGGAGTCTTGGGGATGTCTGGGGATGCTCCTTTTGTCTTTTGCATCAAAGTGCCCTGGGTTGATCCTTTTGGGAATGAGGGAATTTTGGGAATTACTGAGAACCAGTAATTTGGTGTCAGGCTGGTACAGTTTTCTCATCCAGGTGGGCAGTTGGTCCATTTGGAGGTTTGAATAGTGGAAAATGACAGACCTCTGCATTTCTATCTAAATCTATTCACAGAAGGAAGGAGTAGAGTTGTAAATACAAGAGTGAAGAGACTTTGTCTGGGACAGCACTTCAGTTTCTTCATTATACTAGACCAGCTTTAAGGTCTTTTCAACCTGGCCTTGAGCATTTCCAGGCATGGGGCAGCCACAGCTTCTCTGGACAATCTGTGCCAGGGCCTCAGCCCCTGACAGGGAAGGATTCCTTCCCAGTATCCCATCCAGTTCTGCCCTCTGGCAGTGGGAAGCCATTGCCCCTTGTCCTGTTATTCCAGGTCCTTGTCCAAAGTCCCTCTCTGGCTCTCTTGGACCCCTTGGACTGGAAAGCTTTGTTGTAAGGCATTGTGAAAAACTGTCACCAGTCAGATCCAGTGGGAACAAATGGCCCCACTGGTGGAGGTGGTGGACATCTCCATGTGGTGGTTGCTGTCAGAGAGCCAAGGGTCAGTGGCAGCTGCCCTCTGGGTTTGGTGTACCTGTGGTGCCCTCCCCTCCCCTATACCCAGCACTTTCTCCCCAGTATTCAGCATCATTTAGCATGATCATTTAAAATTATAGCATCATTTTCAAGATCAGAATTGCAGCCCTGTTGTCACCACCAGTGACCCAGCAGCATGTCCTGCTCCTGCCTCCTGTTCTGGGCCCTGGACTGGGGGCTGAGCACAGTGTGGTACCCCAGCACTGCTGCCTGGAGCTGCCCATGGGCCAGGCCTCTGAAGCTGCTGAGATCAGGGCAGTGGGGTGCTGTGCTCCTGCTTTGTGCCAGAGACACGAACAGTGCAGGAGAAGTGTCTTGGACCTGCTCTGTGTGCTCTGCCTGAAGTTGTTCTCCATTGCACTTCAGGCAGAAAGCAAACTGTCATTTTAGTCAGGCTGTTGATAGAGTATGAGAGTAACTGTTGCAGGAGTCTCTTTTTTATGTCCAAGTGTGCTCAGAAACTGGAAGTATAAATACTAAGGTTACTCTTCTAATGGTCTTTTTACCAGAAGCTTTCTGGCAGTGGAGGATTGGTATCTGCCTCCCTCTACCTCTCTTTTGCACTTTGGGGATTGGCCTCCAGACATAATAATGCTGTATTGTCTAGGAAGGAGTGATTTCTTGCTAGCATGTAGTTCACATTTGTTTTTTTTTTACTTTTTCAGGGTTGTGAATCTGTGTATGGCAGTGTCTCAGGACTCAAGTCTCACCTTGGCACATGTACCTTGGTTGGTAGCCTTCCTCTTCATAGCCCCACTGTCCATGTCCCTCAAGCTCTTGTCCTGCCCCCTGCTGATCTGAGATCCTCACAAGTCCATGGATTCATGGAGTGGTTTGGGTTGGGGGGGCTCTTATGGATCACCTCATTCCAGCCCCCAGTTTGGGTGCTCCCCTGTGTGCTGCGGGTGTTGCCATTGTAAACAATACCTGAGAGCAGGAGAAAGCACCTTGCTGCCATTCCTTGTACTGACACAGGAGAAAGAAAGCCCCTTACTGCATTCCTTGTAATGGCACAGCAGTTCCACCTGTAGGCTCACAAGAGCAGCTTTTCCAGGTGCCCTACTGGACATCTTGTGGCATCTCAGAGAGCAGTTCTGTGCCTTGTGGGCACAGCTGCTCACTCATGGCGGTGCTGCTGTGGCTAAAACTGTGTGCTATGCATGAGAGCTTCTAGTTTTTATTGCTGAATTATATCTGAGCAGGATTTAAATGAAATCTGCAGGGTTATCAGCCTCCTGGTCCAGCAACTCTTGATGGAATTTTGTTTGTTTTTTTTGTTTTGATGCCAGGGAGACTTTGTGGCTGGTAAATACAAGTGTCTCCTGTGTGAGAAGGAGTTCACTTCAGAGAGTGGGGTCAAGTATCACATCAACTCTGTGCACGCTGAGGTAAGGCAGGCAGAGGGAACATCAAACTCAGGATGCTGGAGGTGGGGAGAGTGTCTTAAGAAAAAAATGCTGGATATGTGCCATGTTTTACTTTTGACCCTGTTGGGAACAGGGTCATTAAACTTAGCTGGTCTGTGTGTTAGTCTGGGGAGTAAGTGTTGTGTCATGTCACATGCCTTGTCCCAAGCTGCTGCTGCTCTGTTCAGCTCTGCAGCATTTCCTGTGCCTTAACTAAGCAAATGTCAAATCAAATCTGAATCCTCTGAGACACAGTGACACCTAAGGAGGCACATCAAAGAACAGGGTGTTGTTAGGCAGTTGTCTTTCCAGATCTTACCTTTCAGGGAAACCTTGTCCCACAAGGCAGCTATGCTGTAAGCCCTGATAGGCTTTATTTGGTATTTCCACCACGATCAGTACCAACATGTTGCTTTCTAAACCTGCAGGACTGGTTTGATGTGAATACCACGACCACCAAAAGCTTTCAGAAGCTAATCAAAATTCGCCAAAGGGAAGAGCAGAAGAAGCAGCGGAAGAAACGTCCTTTGAGCAGGGGCAGAAAGAAGAGAGCTGGCAGCCTGGCTGCCAAGAAGCTCCCTGCTGTTGGAGCTGATAAAACGAGGAGGAGTAAGAGAGGTCGCCCACCACGAGCACACAACGAGAGCACGGGCAGTGAGGAAGGGGCACCCCAAGTTGCACAGAAAGCTGAAGTTCCAAAAACCAGCCGCAAGCGAGGCCGAAGTAAATCCCTAGAAGATGAGAAGGAGTAATCCTAAAGCTTTTCAGCTACAAGCCCCACTTCTGTCAGGCTCATAACCCACAGCACTAATATAAGCAGCTGAATGTCTTTGGGACTGTGACTCAGTTCTGCAGGGGACTTTGATACTGAAACATCTGGTCAGTTGTGAGGGGTTCAAACCAAAGCTGCGGTGCAGAGGCTGCTTCTGCCCGTGAAGTTCCTTTGGACAGTGGCACTCACAGTGTGATTCCTGCTCTGGTTGCAGCCTCAGTTTGGTCATACTAGTTGCTTGTATAGTGGTTTCCAGTACAGCAAGTGTCTGTTTTGTCATCTTCCTCTGATGTGTGAGATCAGGGTTCTTTTTTACAGTTCTTCTCTAAAGGGACTGACTAGCACAATGTTTGGGTCTCTTCAGCGGGGACATCCTTTCTTGCACAGAATGCACCCACACGGAACATGAGAACAGTGCTGTGCAGAATGCAAAGACTGCCTTGCCCTGTCACTCTCCTGTCTGTTGTCAGCAAGGCTGCCACAAAAGAGACCTTCTCAGTGCTTGCTGTATCCTGTTGCACAAAGCTCTATTTCATACCCCAGCGTTTAGGCTCAGCACCAGACTTGGAAGGGATGGAAGGTCATTATCACCCTTGTCAGGAACCCACTGTTCCTCCTGCATCTGTCTCCTGTAATGTTGGACATTAAATGTGTGTAGAAAGTCTTCCAGTGCTGCAACAGCTGAATGCTCTCAAGCCTTTGGAGATTCACCAGCCTTTTAGAGACCTTGGTACCTGATGTGCTGAGGTGGCCTTTGTGTGCCCGTTGAGGCTGTTCCATGCTCCCCTGGGAGACACACTGCAATCAGTGCATCCCTCCATGAGCAGCCTGCTGGTGCTGGGACCAGGCTCCACGAGGCTGCCTTGCCAGCATGGCTTCTTTGTCATGCCAGTGCTCCCACAGTGTCTTTTCCCCCTGCTCTGCAGATACCCCTTCACTGTCTTACATAACCTGTTTCTTTTCAGCATTGCCTCTCTGTGCAAATGAGCTATAATAGCAGTGGCTTCCCTGTGTAGAAAAGGTTGAAAGAAGAGGGGTCACCATTTTAAGTCATGTTGTTGGCATTGTCTCTGGGCCATAAGGAATAATATCTTTCTGTCTCTATAAATCATAGAATGTGAAGGGATTGGAATGGACCTTAAAGGTCATTTAGTGTCACCCCCTGAGCAGGGACACGTCTCACTAAAGCAGGTGGCTCCAGGCCTTACCCAGCCTGGCTTTGAGCAGTGCCAGGGCTGGGGCATCCACAGCCTCCCTGGGCAGTGTCTGAATGCAGCAGATGTCACAGAAGCTGGCAGGAAGCAGCAGCACAGGCAGGCCTGGTTTTTAAAGAATGAGCTCTCCAGACTTTGTCATCCAAAGACCCACCATACCAGAAAATTGCAGAATTTGCACTGTGGGACAAAGTTGCTGGTGCTGAGATTGGCAGGGAAGGCATGGCAGTGTGAGGGGAGCAGGCAGGTTTGTACCTGTGTGTCAGTACCAGCACAATCCCATTGTTCTGACAGCAGGGGATAATGCAGGGCCAAGGGGGTCTCCAGAGCTGCCTTTGGAACAGGTTCTGCTGCGTTTGCACGTGCTGTGCTGAAAGCAGATGTGGAGACTGTGCAGGGGTGTAGAGTCTGCAGTGAGATGGGCAAGAGCAGAAGACAACAAAATAAAATGTCACCAGTGCGAGAATGTGGTTTCTTGTCTGTTTGCTGTGTGGTGTTCTTGGTGCCATCCCTCCTCCCCCAGCACAGCCCAGCTGCTGCAGGGCTGTCCTGCTGCAGGGCTGTCTGTCCTGCTGCAGGGCTGTCTGTCCTGCAGGGCTGTCCTGCTGCAGGGCTGTCTGTCCTGCTGCAGGGCTGTCCTGCTGCAGGGCTGTCCTACTGCAGGGTTGCCCTACATTCTCTGGTGCTCTTCAGCCGTCTTTGTGGTTTCTCTTCAGAGCTCCACAGTGCTGTACTTGGAGCAAACGTTCACTGCATTCCCACTGAGTACAGTAAAGCCAGGAATTAAAGAAAGTTTTTCATAGTGATTTTCAGTCTGGAGTCCTGGTTCCTGTCATTTATGAGTTACTAACTAGGCCTGCTCTCTAGACATGAATACTTTGTGAGCACTTGGGTTTTGTAGTTACTTCAGTAGCATGGCACATGGAAAAAAGCATTCTCCAAGGATCCATCCATGTCATCAGCACCATAGCAGATTGTCTGTGGGACTGGCTCAAGCTGGTCTGAGCTGGTGGCACTGCTGCCAGTGCACAGTTTGTGAGGAGAGAGATCTGTCCTGGAGCTCCTGCATGCTGCTGCAGTGGGGCCAGGCCAGCATTGCTGCTGTGCTTCTGCATGCTGCTGCAGTGGGGCCAGG